TTTAGAGGCCTCTATCCTTGAAGTTCTAAGCGCACCATTTTCCAAGCAAAACCAAGACGACCAAACACCGGGCAAGATCTACTGGGAAAGCACCCTGATTGGCAGGCGATTTATCTTAATCCTGATTGGTTGGTTCATGACACAAACCTTCTTACGGTCCGTCTGCCTGGCCATCACGTGCCTTATCTTCCTTTTACACCACCTCCACACAAAGCCCTTTGCAAAGTACTTGGCCGACCTAGCCGAGACTGTTTCCTTGGCAACATTGGTAGTCATAGCAATATTAAATGTCGGAGTAGCATCGTATTACTCCGCAGGAACTGAGTATCAAGGTCTTCAAAAACAACATGTATACCGCTGTGTTTGGGCCGAAGCGATTCTACTGGGCGTCATTCCATTAACGCTTATCATTTTCCTTGCCTTGTTACTGATGTCGCAGTTCGTTCGGTTGATGATGGGTTTAATAAAACTGATTCACTGGGTCACTACCAAATTAAAGATAGCAAGACACGAGGAAGGTGTACCTTTGATTCATCAGAAGAACTAAAACTTGATCTCACTCTTCAGGCCTCGGTTGTTCAAAAGCTGGATAGTGTTATCTACCGGAGAAAAGCACTATCCAGTGAATAACTGTTCCGGAAACCAATTGCGCTATCCAGTGGGACTGGGGTGGGTGGGGGGAGGTACTGCCATATATGGGCTATATAGGAATGTGCCGCTCTAAAGGGTATGGTTTTCAAGCAGTTTACTCTAGGATAGGGTATATAAATCAGAGAGTTTGGGTCTAGAAGAGGGTATCATTTTCCCGGAAACTGATCAATTGGTTGAAGATTTTAGTCTAGACTAGGGAAACAGGGAATTGCCACTCAAAAATTAGGCTCGATTTCCGCCGTCTCCCGGGTCCGGTCTTGGATCATTTTCCCGAACAGCGGCTGATAATCGAGCCTACTCAAAAATATAAAAAAATCAAATCGGCTTTGTTTTGGCTGGACTGTGCTAGTGTTCTCAGCAGTTTCTGGAAAACACCTACTCTAGGATGGGGGGTAGGGGGGTTGGAAAGTAACTTCTAGTGCAGGGTAGCAAAATTAAGCTGAACTAGCTCTGGTATAGGCTAAGAGTTCAAGGGTCCCAGCGGCACATCCCCACCCAAAAATCATCCTAAAGAACCCTGTATATAACACTATTTACCGGCCTTTCAAACAGCTAAGGCCAGTTGTTAATATTTTAGGTAACCTGCTTGCACTACATTGCGGTGGTGCTGCTCATAATAATTTAGCCTTTAGGTTCTATCAAACGGTATTGTAACTTTGAATTCTTTGACTGAAATCCTTACTTGACCGTTTACTGAACTTTAAGAGAAGCCTTAAGGCTGAATTGCTAGTTTACGTGACATCACGGCGGCCATGTTAGTGGTCAAGAACAAAAGCATTTCGCTCCTCTGGAACTAAACTCTATTTTCATGCAAATTCTTCGAGAAAAAATATATATTGTACAACCACGTGACAAGGCGGCCATGTCGGACATGGCCGCCTTGTCACGTGGTTGCAAACCAGTAATAACGCATCGTGTAGCCTCCTTTGAACGGATACAATATGTTATCCAACTGTAACTCAACGGGATTATAGTACTACATGCTTTTTGTTTTCTTCCGTATATTATAATACAAAAATGAATTTAAAATAAAATAGAATTGAAATTAATATTTACATATTTTACAGTTTTACAGTTTTGTGTATAAGAAATATAATATAAATAGGTTTCTGATATTTTAGAACTCCACTGTAGGCAGGTAAATATTATGTTTCTAGCCATTCTTATATAACTGAGCCATCCACATCAGGAGTCAGCAAATTCGGTCGTCTCTTTCGCAGGTTTTTTGCGAGCTAAAAATAAAATGAAGAAAATGAAATTGTGAACAATGTGCACGTGAAAGTTAACTTTCAGAAAATATAATTCATAATAAAGCACAAAAATTAACAGCTACTATCTTACATTTCTTGTACGCGTTCCAAATTCGAACTGTCTTATCCCACGAAGCAGAAACATACTATGGCAAATAAAGAAACAAACAAAGAAAACTTGTTTACACGAGATAATACTCTCTCACGATATTTTTTACGATAAACGACCCAAATATCGAAAAAATTGAGATCAATTTTACCCTGCAAGCAGACTCAGCTCGCAGGATAGATCAATTTTTCATACTCTTAAAAACAAACACTAAGAATAGTTTAAACGTAGGATACCCTTTCCCGATTTTTTCAATACCCGCTAACGATATCAAAATCATTATCCGATACTCTTACTCCTTCTGCTTGGTATTTATGTTTTTACTCGCTCAGTTTTCCCTCGCAAACCAAAGCACACACACAAAAAAACAAATAAACAAACAAATGAATTATTTTATAGTAATACCTGACTCCTCTCGGGAATGTGAATAATGCAGCGTACGGAATCATTGTGCCCAAGATTCTTCTGAACGATTTTACGGCTTTCTGGATCATATACTCTAGGGAACGAAAAAATATTCAGTAAATGACATTTCTCTCTACAGAGTCAAAACATCCAGACAAAAAGGAAGGAATAAGAAACACAAAATAAAACAAAAAAAATCAATTTTACCACCAGTCATCTCTGACTCGTCTCCAGTCGACTCTTACAGCCTCTCCCAAGTGGTGCGCGGGGTGTGATGGGAAGGAGGAAAGCGCGGGAGATCGAGAGAGACTTATCTTCTCCCTTCCCACCACCCTCTGCCCTCGCCGTGCTCGTCACGCGAAGACGACTGGTGACAAGTCAGCAGCCATCTTATCTCTTAATTTCCGCCAAAATGTAAAAAATGATTGGCTACTTAAAGGTTGCACGCGAGACTGGGTCGTTGTTGAGCCGAATTGCCCGATGGGACGGTTTTTAGGGGACGGATTTGGACCCAGGTTCTGCTCAACTTTGTAGTAACTGACCAAATAAGCGATTGCACGACCAGATAAGCCCATGGTGTAATTGGGAACAAAATCGCCCCAATTTCATAATCGTTCCCAGGGTTCTTCTTCTTCTACTCTTCCCTGTAGGAACGAGTAACAGAGAACATACATACATACATACATACTTTATTGGCTCGTCCCCACGGGGCTTTTCAGAGTCAATTTTACATTACAAAATTATAAACCAAGTACATGACAATAAGAATATAACAATGATAAAAGAAGACAAAGGTCAATAAAATTAATTAAATTAATTAAATAAAGCAGTCATTAAGAAGCTTTTTCCTGAGTAAACACTTGAATTCCGTCACGGATGGGCTAAGTTTGAGCGCAGGCTGCAACTCATTCCAGAGAGAGGTTGCTCTATATTGAAAGGTCCTTTGGCCGCTGGCAGTGCGGAAGAGTGGTATGTTCAAAAGTTGAGAATTTCTCGTATTCCTTGTCGAGACGGCGGATCTTCCAACGAGCTTTGATGTCAAATACTCCGGAGCACAACTCGTCATGCACTTAAAAACCAGAACAGCAAAACGAAAATAAAGTTGTTGCCTGATTGGTAGCCAGCGCAAGTCTTTTAGCAAAGGAGTTATGTGATCGAATTTTTTAGCGCCGCTCAAAATACGACAAGCGAAATTCTGTACTGCTTGGAGCTTGGAACCGTGGAAACGAGGTTGTCTCCCTACAATCTCACAATGACCAGTCGGGAAACAAGAGACTGTTTAAAGATTCTTATTTCCTGTGCGATAATTGAGTTCGAGCGGAAATGAAAAGTGTGTAAAAGACACAAAAGTGGGAACTACGCAAAAAGTTTGGGCCATTGTGATAGCTAAATAATCTCAAGGCACTTTCTCCATCAATCAGAAGAAAACACAAAACCAATCGCGACTTCCTTGAACCCGCGCTTATTCCCGTGATCAACAGTGGCTACACGCACTGGTATCGCATTCTGATTGGTTAAACGTCTTGAGTGACCACATTGGACTCACGGAGGTCTGAGAACACGTTATACGCCTCGTAAATACGGCGTCTCTTCTCACCTAATAATTTCTTGCACTCCTGCTACAATGCAACCGTTCACCTGGTCGATGCAAAGTGCCGACACTGCTCCTTGGGCACTGAGAAATAGATCGCAGGCCATTCCGTCTGCTCTCTGTCGTGAGTGGATTGGAAACAAGTTAGTAGTAAAAACGGGTGCCCGCCACCGGGAAATTTGGTGTCGCAGAAACCTTCGTCAGTTAGTTTTTGTTCTTGGATGGTGAGTATCGTTTGTCTTTTTTTTTTCAGTGTCTTTTCTAGACTTCAACTGAAAGAAAGAGACATTCGGTTTTCTTTCTCAAACTTAAAATTGGTTTTTCAAGGCTTGATGTTTCTCTCCTTAATCTCACTCTCCATCTTCATCTTCGCTACAGGACTTTAGCTTGATTGCGTTGGCGTTATTCACGTACGCAAAAATAGAGGCTGTTTTGCAGGCTATGTCTTTTCAGTTTTTTGCATGACGTCATGTGATGTCAGCAAATAGCCAGCTTATTGATTCACTAAATTGGAGATATCGGTTTCTTGCTGTTACAAAATCATCACATACCCAAATACGAATAGCACCATTTTCCGAACCCGTGATCCACTTGGTCAGCACCGCATTCCATCGCACCTAAAAACCGGACCATTAAAAAGAACTTCAAGCTGCTCAAAAGACACACTTAAAATACCAACATCTTTGCTTCCGTGCTAACGCATGATCTAGCCGAGGGTAGGGAGACTCTTCTCACTGAGGACACCTATTATATATACACCACGTCTATACACCTTTTTCATGGAGATCCTGCTCTTCCACCATCGTCATTAATGTTTCTGGTATTTTACAGTTATCTCATTGGCCAAATTCATGGTGACGGCATTGTTTACTGTTTGGGGGGGGGGTAGGGATGACGTTACGGTGAATACAAAAATAGGTCATTTCCAAGTTCCAAAAACCCTCTCTTAGTGCAATGCTATCATTGAAGGCTAATGTTGACTGCGATTTACGAAATGAAACTTCGAAACTATTCTTTGTTTCAACAGGTAAACCTTTTGGCCGGTGGAGAAGTGTTAGGAAAGAGTGTTTATCCAATGAAAGTCACTGTGATGCAGGGAGATTTCCCCATTTCCACTGACCAGTGCGGTGAGTACTGATCATGCTTTTAGGTAAAAAAGAAAAAACAAAACAAAAAACACTTATTTTTTATCAGGGAGGTTAAGCATCACGTTTACGTCAAACGGCAAACGTGACTTTGTACCACGTGACCAAGTTTCCTCTTTACTTGCAGTTTACTGTTCATTATTTCTACCCCTAAATTAGTACTTCACGCAATTTTTCATCCATAAGAATTGTTCTGAGCTGCTTTTATCTGCTCATTTTTTCTTTTGAGAAATTCTCAATTTAAATCTGCCGTTTGCCGTATACGTGAAGCTTAAACTCTCTTTTTTTATAGCAGAAATACGCTTATTCTACGATGAAAATATAACGAGTTTCACATAGTGCTTAATTTCTCTCTGTTTTCGGAGTCATGTTTGTAGATGAGAGGGGAAATGGGAGCCAAATATTTTTCGAGAATTATTGATTTCGAGCGGAGCGTGTACAATTTTAGAAAAACTTTATCGATGCTGGCCAGTCAATCACCATTTGACGAAGCAGAAAAGATTGAAAATACACTGAAAAATACCCATACCACAATTCAAAAGCAAATTCAAACAATGGCCTTTTCCGCAATACCAAAAAGCACTCAGCTTTTAGAGTTTAATTAATTAAGTATCGGTGAATTTATTTTTGATTAAAAATGTGTTTTTGTGCGAGCAGGGATCTTCGGGTGGTGGTACGACTTTTCCGATATTGAAAAGGCAGCAGTGATTGGTGGACCTCTATTGTTCATCATGATACTAATCGTTGCCTGTTGCTGTTGTTGCGGCTGCTGCAGGTCCCGTCCAACCAACCAAGGGGCTGTCATCGTCACTCCCGCAGCTGTCCATACGGCTGTCATGGCGAGAAGCACCAAGAGCACCGTTTCCATGAAACCACCGGTCAACGAGACTTGAGTTTCACTCTGAATAGACAGAGTGGTGCAATGGGCAAAAAGCGCGTCAGTAAATTTCGCTAAAATTTTGCTTTGTTTATAACACTTTAATCCGTTCTGAACACTTTTTTTTTAGTTACTGTTAAGTACAATCATAAACAATTGTTGCCATCTTAATTATGCTCGGTTTAGACGCCGTACTTTATAGGATTAAATTTGAGTTTGGGCCCACTGAAATTAATTTAGGACTGCCAATCTTGAATCCAACCAAACTAAAGCTTCAAAATGCAGTAAGAATATATCAATTTTTTTTCAAAATTATGCAGTTAGTTTGGCTAAAATTTGAAGTTCGGTGTCTGTATTAACGCTGGTGCACTGCCGTTTCAAATCGACTCTGCTTCTGTGAAGAACAGCGTCTGAATCAGGCCTCAAAGTACCGTGGTTGCTAGATGTTTCCTGCTACCGTTTATATTCTCATACCTTATTACATCGTTCGATTTGGAGCATCAAATGTTACTTCGGATTTTCGTATTTGACTCGCTATGTGACCCTATAACCAATAGCCGACGCCGCAGTAAGGCATGCTATCAAGACTTACGTATGAGTTACGTATGTTGGCATTGCATTGTTTACTATTGATGGTACGCTACGAGGAAGCCCATCAGCGATAAACACAGCTTTCAGCAGTGGTCATGGTTCTTCCAATTTTTTTTTACTATTTCCTTGCAATTTTTGCTATTTCCCTTACCGACCTTAGTATATTTTAGTCCAAAAAATTATTTTTTCCTGCCGCGCGCCTTACCCAATATGAATTTCTATACTTTCAAAAGAAACGTTTAGAAATGGTAGATAACATCGATTTCTACAGAAGTGAAGGGAGGGTAAATTCGAATGCAAAACTGCATTCTCTGAGGCTGGCAGAGATTTTCTAAAATTGGATGGGTAATTAGGTCAGCAGGAAAAACTTCTCTCAGCTCATTTCCATCGTCCCTCGAAAATGTTGTATGGTGGCAAATCTTAGGCTGGCACTAAAACTAACTAGAGCTCCAAGATGTGATAGTACATCTTGCAGCCCTGCTTAGTTTTAGTGCAAGCCTAAGATTTGCCATTATACGACATTTTTTAAATACGGACACCAAATAGTCTTCTTCGCAGTCGCTTGGACCGGAGTCACCAAAGCGCCGGGGAGACTACAGAGACTAGGCACCAAACCATGGAATAAAAAGGGGTCGCCAAGCATTTATATATAGCCTGATACACTGTAGGAATTGTATGAAGTTTTAGATCTACGGAACCAAAGAGAAATGTCTGTAATAGAATTTAGGGTGTAGCTTAAAAAGGTTTGGACGGTATGGGACAAAACCGACTTATCCTTTTGTTAGTTGGATTTTCCAGTTGGTAAAATGGTATCGTATTCAAAATTTAAGGAGTGTCATCTTGATCTTTCATCCTTCAAACGTAGTGCGGCTTTTCTAGACAAACTTGAAATAGACGACTTATCGCTTAATTACTTTTTTAAAACAATAGTCTGTTGTTTCATCACATGACCAATCATGCCAACAGTAAAATGCTGCTGAGTCATTCCCTTTGGACGTACCGGTCGACATTAATTTAATTACTGCAGCATACTTGCCCGAAGAATCCATACCATCCACTGCACTGATCTTCAAACAAAAGCATCTCACTTTTGGCTCTCAAACAAAGGTTTGTTTTTAGATATCGTGTTTAAAAACATCATATTTATATTTGGGATTTTAAGGTATTATTCACTTATAAATTTATAAATATGCGGTGTGTGTGGCTGTTGAAGTGTAAAGGAAAGGTATAGTCCTTTTCACGCTTGGTCTAAAAGTGCTCGAATTGTCATATTATCTGTTCATGCCTGGTAGAGGCGATTTTAAACTCGGATTCGACCGTATGGACGGGTTACAATATCCCCCTTGACTGGCATTTTAACTCTTTCTGCAAAGTCACGGCGAGGAGGTCTAGCCTGATTCTCAGACGTCCGAGAAGCAAAGGGACCGCGAACAACCTCGGACGTCTGAGAATCAGGCTACGAGGAGGTCGGGATCGGAAATCGTTCTTCATAAACCACTTATGAGTATTCTCCTCGATTTTCTTAGTTCTGGGTTAAGTCGTAGCCATGACTTAAGGAGCGGACTTTGTAGGGTGAAATATTTCGCCCATAAATATAATTGAAAACAATAGACTTCAGGAGGCGCGAACGTGAAAGCATGAATGCTATTTCTGGTTATTGTCGAAAAATACGTCATGTCGCTTCTGTCCACCAGTCGGTTAGCGTCTGCAGTGTTGTTGGCAGTGGAGTGAACCTAGCAAACTGAACAAACGAAGATAAAGTAAGATAGCTAAGAAGTGCCGTGTTACTATAAACTCTTTCGCTAAAATCGCGTGACTTGTAAAAAAAAAATGACAAGATTCACGTGAATTATCCTTTTTAAACATTCAAAATATTCCAGACGCCGCCACGGATGAAGGCTCCACCTACAATTCAAGCGTAACTTCTCTCGTGCCTCATCCATCAGTTCTTTCTTTCTTTTTTAGTGTCTTTAACTGATTGTCACTTAGCTTCAAGTTGGAAATTTTATAAAAGGAACTTTCTGCGCGAAAAATGAACAAGTCTTGACCTCTATAAAGACTTCTTTAACTCAATTTAGGCTTGTAGCTTCTGTTTCGGGTCTGAACACTCAGATCCATCTATGTCGTTCGAATGAAGCAAGAAAGACTGATCTACACTAAATTGCTTTGTTGTTTCAAAAGTCGCGTGATTCTGCGTTAATTCGAATAGTGTATTGTCTTTGCATATACATATCAAGTGTTCTATTTACATACATTATTCATTTTCAATCATGCATGATCAACAACTGAATTGTAGCACAGGAAGTACGCCGTTATTGTGTGTGTAACTGCTAGCAGGTACCCTAAAAAGAATTATGCCGCTCCATTTTTAGACTTCCTGTCAGCCTCGCAGCTCGTCTTTCTCAAGAATCGCACTTCATCCACAGGTTTGTTAACGATTTTCATCTTCTTAGTGTTTAAGGCATTTCGACCAAACAGGAACAGAGTGTTACGAAACAATGAATCATCTAAGGAGTAGCTAGACAGTCACACCCTGATCTACTTAAAAAGATCAATCAAATAACAATTCAATTCAAGTCGATAGTTTCCTTGTTCACATCAGTATTTTCTCTTTCATATTTAGTTTCTTCTTTCACGATTTTAAAATTCTTAAACTCAAGTCAAAAGGAATTTGCTAACAAGTTGGACTCCATTAGTGAAGTGGTCAAGGTATGTTGACTATGAAGTCGTGTCTTGAACTTTCAATTTGATTCAGCACCAACGTTGTGTAACCTGCGTTAGAAATGAAATAAAGTAATAACAACATAAAGCAAAATAGACTGATCTACTCCGTCTAGATTGATTATCCTAATTGTGTAGACCCTAACATCAACACAATGCCTTTCAATAGAGGAATGCGGAATACTTTTAAATCATAATGAATTGTTCCTTTCATAGGAAAGAATAGCGTTACCTGACTTCGAGAAGGGACCACGCTCTGAGCTTTGGTTTCTCTTACGACTTCCTCCAAGAGTCTGAAGGTTGGTTTTAGATATTTATACTTCCCAGTAATTTTCAGCCATTCAGAGCTCGCTCATGGTCAGCTTTTGTTTGGAGTGTCGCAATCGTTTCATAGCCGGGCTGTGTATTCATGCTATCTTCACCCAGAGAACTGCAAGAGGATTTTGGTCACAAAAATATGTATCAGAGCTGCAACGAGCGTATCATAGTTCCACCTGACACTCAGAGAATCAAAACTCCCTGTTTTCAAATTGCGGTCACTTCATATTTTAATTCAATGATGAACATTTATTGATCTCATCTCGCGTCTTCGCGTTCCTGATTACTTAGGTCACACCCATGCTAGAGGCCGCGAACCCAGTACAGACAGTACAACTTTCTGTAAACAGGGTCCGTATTTTTAAGCAGCTTAAACGCTTACGTTTCTCTGTTCTTCTGAGGTTAAGATATGCTGTAATCATCAGCACTTGGAGAGAGCCCCGTTTTTAATTTTACATTATACATTCTTATAGGTTTTTACTTAGAGAGAATAATTTAACCAGACTACAATTACATGAGCTAGTGGCTGTGGTTATCGAAGAATCATCTGAAGAATCAATCACAGAATCATGCAGTATATGCAACAGTGATCTATAAAATTCTCTAACTGAAATAAATCACTGGAAAGACGCTCACATGAAATACAATTTTATTCACAACTAAGATTAAGTTGACATCTAATCATGACAAAATTTTCCCCTTTCAGAAATATTCTTAAGATCTCCTAGATGAAAGTCATGTCAGACTGCGAGATTTCGACACCATACGATCACGTCAGAAGCTTGCTTTCCACTTACTGTAAAAGATCAAAGAGTGTTTTTTTGTTATAGGCTAACTTGCAGTGCACTTTTCAACAGAATTTCATGGTCTTTCATACAATTAGGCAGCCAGAAGCAAGTACTGATCAAGGTATGATTTCCATTCCTACGTTTATGTCTGGTTTATGGTTAAACTTCTGATGTCTTCTGAAAACTGGGCGGGTTTTTCAGATCTTTAAGAATATATGATTACGTTCAAGATGCAAAATTTTTCAGTGTCAAGAGAAGAGTATTTAACAAACTAACGGATTAAAAAAACTCGATCGGGTCAGTATAAAACTGGTTAAAGTGTATTACCGGGGCTGACGCTTTAGATAAATAGAATCATGTGTTTGTAACGTCGTGCGAGAGTCATTCCATCTGACATAAGCGCATCGGTTCTTGTCCTCAGGAGTTCAGTGATAGATATAAACCAAGAGAGGATAAAGCTCTTTTGATATAAACTGCTTAATTTCTTAAGATGAAACTGACACAGAGAAAGAAGATAATGGAAGCAGTCTAACTATTGCAGCGCTCCTTAAATCGAGTGATTTCTAGGTTCAGTACCAATTATATGACATGAGTTGTATTTAAAAGCCGCTTCTCATTTATAAGAATTATTGTCAACTGTTCGTTTCACAGAAAGTTTGAAGTGTCGAGGACGGGAGGACTGTAGTTCAAGGACCTCTTACATTAGTTATCAAGAGAGAGCTTTCTGATAAACATCCGTAACGTCCCCAGCGGCGAAGAGCGAGAAGAAATGGATGTTTTCGCAGGGTACTTTCTGAACAGCTTTTTTGCAAAATAGATAGCTTAAAATATGATAAAATATGTGATCCACAAGATTCTGCGCGCGCCGCTAAAATGAAGAATTTTTTTGCAGGTTTACCGAGCGGGCACTGGGGCTATTCAAAGTGAAGATTTCCGAAGATCAAGATATCCGGGATTCAGAAGTAATCTGTTTCAGTCTGTTTGTAAGTTTCCCTCCCTGATTCACATGTAAGTTACATGTTCAGGTCTTTCTCCCTTTGGTTAACATTTACAGTTTGTCTAGCTAACAATATGGCTGATTATTTATAATGAACTACATTCTTTCTTCCAGATCGTGTGCACTCAGATCACATGAATGTGATCGTGAACACTCCGTGAAATCTGAACGTCGGTCATCTGCGAAAGGTAAGCTTAAGCTTGTTAAGATTACTTTTTTTAATAGGCATTTTCTTGTAAAAAAAAGGTTGTTGCTGGTGGAAAAATTGTTATTTTTGTTTGATGCTTGCAAGACGAGTTTTATCACTACATTATTTTATGCACTTCTGCAGTGTGCCTCCAGATTATGCTCGCAAAGACCATTATATCTCTTTTAGTCAAATCGTGGAATCGTAGTGAAATGAAATCCAAAAAAAAAGGCATGAGGAGAAGAAGTAACTGCAGGGATCACTTGTGTTATTTGAGGTTGAATCAGAAATATGAAAATCACCCGTTACGTAAAAAGGTGTTAAGTGCATGTATTTTTTTCAGTTTTGTAGACCAGTTACCAATTTAGAATCCTGAAGATGTCACCACCTGATAACACAAGATTAAAGTTATCCTCCTGAAAGTAAGTTTATATTCTCTGTGACCTCTGCTGTAAGTGTGTGTTGATGTAGATATGATTGATCTCTGAACCAAATAATTATTTTGGGCAATTGCCCCTTGGTGCAGGGGGGGTACTCCCTATAATGGCCTATAGGAGGAGGTTGTGCTCAATACCTGTAGGCGTGCAAGCTACCCCATAGCACGCTGTAGTTGTCAAAATGTGATTGGCGGCCGCAATAGACAGCATACAAGGTGGCAGGGAGCAAACAATGATTGATGGGTTACCAGATGGAATTTTCTTTATAAATATAGCGTATTACAGTGTCAACATGGTTTTCACATGTTAGATTTTCATCAATAAGCATGCTAAGAGACTTAGAGGAATGAGAATGTTTGATTGAAACATTATTTATATTTAAGGAAGGCAGAGAAGGTACATTATTAAGCTTTGGCCTTGAGCCGTTTAATTTGAATTCAGTTTTAGTCATATATATAACATTAATTTGTTTGCGATAAGCCACTGAGCGTTTAATGTTGAGCAAGTCTTCATTCAGGAAAGTCTGAATGGAGTGGATATTGCCATTCAAATAAGTCAGATGGGTATCATCAACATACATTCTTTGTTCAGAATGAAACAGACAATTGGGCAAATCATTGATGTATAGCAAAAACAGTAGAGGCCCTAATATTGTCTTAGGGAATACCACACATGAGGATGCAACATTCTGAAAGGGAACCATTGACAAGACATTTCTGAGTATGATTATGTAAAAAAAGGAGGAAAAACATTTATGGGTAACACCTAATATACCACAAAGATGTAATTTAGACAATAGGATATATCATGATCGACTGTGTCAAACGCTTTCTTAAAGTCAAGAAAAGCAACAGCATTAACGTTACCTATATCAATATTACAGGCCTCTAATAAGGCTGTATTACTACTGAATGGAGCACATGGATTCTGGATTGGTGCTTAGACAAAATATTATGATCTGCTAAATTGGCAAAAAGTTGATAATAGATAATTCTTTCAAATACTTTGCCAATTATAGAGATAACTGATATTGGACAATAATTGTCTAATGTCGCTTCTTTTGCCGCTTACTTGAATAGAGGAGTAACCTTTGCGGACTTCCAATCCTCAAGAAATATACCATTAGCTAAAGAACTATTAAATGTAATTGAAATAATATGAGGTGCAATTAAATCTATAAGCTGACTAGATATTCCATCTGGACTAGCACCTTTAGATTTATCCGGTTTTTAAAAAAGAGACAACACCTGATTACTATTAGTCTGCTACACAGCCGTTTTTAGTGTCGTCACGCCCCCACAAGCGTTGCGTGACGACACCAAAAACGGCTGTGTAGCAGACTAGATTACTATCGGTGGGGATGAATTTGGAATCTTTCGCTTTAAAGGCCAGAGATATTTAAATTCCTGAAAATTGGGTTATTTCTCAAGCTGTAATTGTAGAAAAGTGATCATTGAAAGCGTTTGACAAAGCGGTTGAATTAGTTATAGAAACGTCTCCATTCAGACTTAATTCCTTACCAGATTGACCTGCTGGATTTCTGAGAAGTAAGCTCATTGATGACCTGCCACGTTTTATGCGGGTCGCCATCAGATTCGCTAAATTTGCCTTTATAAGATAATAATTATTTAACAAATTATTTGTGAGCCTGTTTGATTTCAGCATTGACTTTGTTATGCATTCTTTTAAAGCAGACCCAATTGTGTGGATCATTGGACCTAATTGCTTAAAGTGCCTTATCAGCAGTTAAAAAGGGATACAAAGTTCTAAACTAGGTATGTGAAAGGGGTCGTACCATATTTTGTCAAAAGAAGGTAGACGAAAGGAGTACCTTTTCTGTCAGAATGGTATTTCATAGCTGGGTAAGGGGTTGGACCTCAGGGGGGAGCCTCCCTGTATATAACACCTCATAAGAAACCGGAAGAGAGGATCTGTCCTATCTGTAAAAAAGACTTAGAAGACAAAATACACTTTTTAACTTGAATGTGCCCTGCGTATCAAGAAAAAAGAAGTACTTTATTTGGAATACTTAAACAAAGAATACAGAATATCAGTAAAGAGAATGGCACCAGATGATGTTTTTCTGTTGTTAATAAACCCTCTGAGCAAGAACAAACCAGTGTAAAAGCTAATTGCAAAATACGTATTCAACTGCTATGAGAGAAGAAGATCATTTTTAATGTTGTTTAGGTTAACACTGATTATATACAGTTCCAGTAGTGTGCAATTTGTGTTATAAATTATGATTTTAAAGTTATTTGGATAAAGTCGATATACATAGGACTGTATAAGACTCCAAATAAAACATTGTCTTGTCTTGTCTTGTCTTGTCTAACTTTGTTGAGTACCCCGGGCACTCCCCCATGGGTAATGCATTGTGTTGTTGTAGTAAATAATTTGCATGGCTTCAAAATAGGATTATATCTCATATTTTGACGTCATCTTTACCATCTTGTCATTAATTTCAGGATTCATGTCAGTTGAATATTAAACACATACAACAAGTTAGATGCATGGTGTGAAGCTATCAAAGGAGAAGGTAATTTAGGTGAGTTTATTAAGTTGATATTTGCAGTAAATGATAAAGGGAGAGGGGGTTAATTTAAAGATTGTAAAGCTTTCTTGCATCACTATAGGGTATCATACCATTACCTTACTTTTAATTTAGATGCATTCATTAAATATATACTATTGATTACAGTTCACGGTAGAATGGTACAGGCCAGAAACTGTCAACATTCCAAACATTTCATGCATAATGCTGGAGTATACCTTAATCACTATTTGTATGAACCTCTGTTACGTGGGTAATCTTTTAGAGGATGGGGAGCTTGCAAACTAAACTGAACGCAGGGTTGTCGGAACAGCAAACAAGAAGATTTATTCAAAAAAATGAAAGTAGTTTCCATGAGATAAAATTCTACAACAACACATAACTCAATAAACTTACATGGCCTCTGCCAACTTGAATAAACACTGCCTCCGTCACACTTGACGAAACATGACAAATGTCAAACTCTCTTTGCTTGTGAAACTCTGATCTAGTGAAATTACCTTTGCTCGGACTCGCCTACTTATATACTTTAATTCACAATAAGATTCTAGAACTTTCTAATTAGTCTAATTATAGAAAGATTACAAAATATAGCGCTTTAGAAACACTCACACAAGAACCTAAAATAAACAAACTGTGAACTCTTGTGAAGCTGCTTCTAGTCACTTCTAGTAGTCACACATTACAATTTTTTGTAACATTACCTCTCTAATACATGGTACAGTCCAACCTTTGCTAGTAATGGTTCAACTCTCCTCTAAGCATTAGACTCAGTCATAGGTCCCAGTCACTAATACTTAATTTTTGGGTGACCTTCCTTTAAGTGCATGGGAATCTCTCACAATTGCTTGGCCCTGCAACTCACAAACACTGCATAATTAATTGACCTTTGTGAAATGGAACCCTTTCCACAGCAAGAACTTAGTTGTAGACCCATGAAGTCACAAACTGAGTGACTGTTTGCATATTGACCTTTGTGAAGTGGATGGACACCTCTTCTAAAAGTGGACACTAACTAGTCATGGACCAAGACATTTACAAAATCTGCATTTCACCTTTGTGAGGTGAGCACCTTGATCTATTACCTGTAGGTGCACACTTCTCGTGGTCACTGTACAGTGGTGTCCACTAATATAATAAAAGGGTTTGACCCTTAAAAATATAGCTGTGACATAAAAAGGAAATTTATTAATAAACAAGTTCGATCTTGAAGTTATTTAATGTGGTGATGGTATTAAATTAAATTTATACTCTTTAGGGACATCTTTAACTGAGACTCAATGGCACAGCATCAAGACCTAAAAAGAAAAGGAGGTGCTGATCCTGATCATCAGATGTCAAGAAATCATGCCCCTCCTCCTCTAAGTATTGAAGTGCCTAAAATGAGTGATCTTCCAAACAAGTCAAACCCTTGGAGTGATGACCAGCTTCCTGTTGACATTCTTTTGTTGACAGTCGAAGACTCGGAGTTCTTAGCTTGTTATACTTTCTTGGAAAATTCTTTTAAAAGTTATGACCCAACCCTGGGATATGTGTACTTTGGGACCATGGGTGAACGTGGAGAAGAGGCACTGAAAGTTGCTTTGATGAGATGTTATAAAGGTTCTTCTGGTCCAGGTGGCTTTCAAAATGTTATTAAAAATGCAGTGATGAAACTGAGACCCAAGGCTGCTTTTTCTGTTGGTGGATGCATGGGTTTAAAATCAACAGACACTAAGCTAGGAGATGTAGTGGTATCCTCTAAACTGTCAACTGAAGAATTCACAACTCCAGTAAGAAGAAATATTGGCAACCTTAACTTGTTTGTAACTGAAGGCTGGAAGCCACCATTAAAAGATCCAGTCGGGGAAGAAACAGTACAGGTTCACCGTGACAGTGAAATATTCAGTGGTAGTCAATTCATCACCAAACAACGCCGTATGTCTCAATCACACGTGATTGCAGTTGAAAGAGACGGGGAAGGTAAGCTGATTATAATAATATTACTATTATAACAATTTGATACTAGCATTGGATTTGATCAGAGGCCTGAAACTCTAAATTGTCCCTCAGACGCAGCTTGTGATCATGGCAGTACTGTACAGTACCTAATATATTGCCAATCATATTTGACTATGGGACTGCATTGACAGTATGATTTAAGGTTATTGTGGGGTGTATAGTTTATTATATTATTATTGTGCCATACAGGAACATAAATTACTATTGAGCTTAGAAGATTATAAATTACAGTCACTACGCTCAAAATTCTGAGCTAATTAGCTGTGCTAGATTCTTGTTCATAGAGGATTGAATATTAGGATGCATCACCTATTTTTTCTTCCCACTTACAGGACTGTTTGCTGCAGCTCATGATATGAACATTGAATGGGTGATTGTTAAAGGGATATCACATTTTTCCGATGATAGCAACGCTTCTGATAAGTCCTGGAAGTCTTTTGCTTCCATCATGGCAGCTTCTCTTGTGTCCAACATGTTAAATGATCCAGTTGTTTTTAAAGAATGGCCTCACTATGAAGGTTTGCGACTTCCCTGTTCTAATGAGTGGTAATAAATAAATTATTAATAGTGATGAATTTTCTGTTCAGATAATTATTTTTGTGTTGGCTGGTTCAATATTATCCTTGAAAATGATTGTCAAACGACGGCCTGCAAATATCAGTAGATGAAGTAACTTTTCTCCGAAAGCGTACTCTATAAGTTTTTTTTGAGTTAGTTAAACTAATGAGAATATACGCCTCCTATCTATTAGATGCCCCCAATGGTTCAAGTTTTTCTCTCTGTTTGAAACTCAAATACATATAATATTAAAATACCAAATAACAAAGACCAAAAGTAAAATTTGTTTTGAGGGGAGTTTTAATTTATAATTAACACTTTTTTCTTCATAGACTTGACAGCAAAGAATCAGCCAGAGACAACCACAGAGCCAGACAAACAGAGACCAGGTACTATTCCATCAATGTAATTACACTATAAATCCAGGAGTTTTTTCAGATTAAATGATTGAACACTGGAGTTTCACTTATATAAACATTGATCTTTTAAAGTTGTTTGTCACATCTGAGCCCTCTTTCACTTTTTTTATTTACAAATAATATTGCAGTAAGACAGGTCTTTGCCAAAGAGAGCAGTCTTTTTTTGTCTGATATTTAATTCCTTCCCCCCCTCAAAAAAGAATTTGCTGACAAATGCCATTTGAAGCCAGTCAGACGGCTTTCTGGTCAGTATCTGGCCAAAAAGAACCAAAACTGCCCAAAATACTGTATTTCCTCAAATAACAGCCGGGGCAATTATTTCTTTTTTCGCCTCAATAGGGGGCAATTATGTGAGGGAGGCGATCATTTCAAATATTGCTCACTGGAAGTCGTACCCTAAATATTTTGTTATATTATCCCATTAAATAAAAAAATTATCACATCTGAATAAACTGATCAATATGGGCTTTTTAAGTGTTCCAAATTTGGTTCCTTGATTGTAATTTTAAGAGCTTGAATTGTCACTGATCAGTTTTGCTGGATCAGATTCCACTTCAACTTGACAGGAAGTTGATAAAAGAAAGTAAAGATGGCATGAGGGGTGGGAAGGGGGGTGATTATTTGAGGGAGGTGATTATTTTAAATATTTCCATCAAAGGGGGGCAATTATTCAATAGAGGCGATTACTCGAGGGATGGGTATTATAATTCAAGGAAATGCGGTGCTTTAAAATCAAACACCATGTACAATGCCTTTTGTTCCTTATGCTAATTATTAATGTCAGTTTTGTTTTGAAAAGTGACACAAATCACTCAACTTTTCCCTTTTCGCTTCCTTGCCCCGTGTTTTCTCTTAATGTTGGACATTAACTAAGGCTTCATTTTGGTGAGACAGACATTGTTTTAAGTGAAACAAGGTTCCCTTATCTTCTTAAAAACCCTGGGGGGGTGGACTTTAGGAATTTCTGGGTGGGGATTGCCGCTGGGACCCTGGAACCCTTAACCTTTACCAGAGCTAGTTGAGCTGAATTTTGCTACCCTATACTGGAGTAAACTCCCCAAATCCCCCTATCCTAGAGTAGCTGTCTCCCTTGTCCAGATAAAATCTTGAACCAACTGATCAGTTTCGTGAAAAATGTTACCCTATTCTAGACCCAAACGCTCTGATTTATATACCCTATCCTAGAGTAAACTGCCTGAAAACCATACCCTTCCCAGCGGAATGGCAGTACCCCCCCCCCCCCCACCCCGGGTGAAAACCTACTCGTCTTTGTTTCAGTTGTCTTTGAGTTATGTGTAAAGGCCTCTATTAATTTAGGAATTGCCCAATTCAATTGATAGTGATGTTGCGAAAGGGACCGTCCACTTCCAAACTTTCCACTGGTACGGTATATTCTATTGTCATCCACCAAACCCCACTAAAAAGATTATAAAAGGAAAGATCACTAAGACTTGCTTGCTGATTTAAATCCACTGGACAATATCAAATGACCACTGGGCCATTCCTCATGCTGTTTCCTTTCATTAATTTGTATTATTTTATTCATGATATTTCTGCAAATTGACTGTCCACTCCTCTTGTAAAAAAATATATAGTTATTTAAAAATTTTCTTGGAAATGATAAAAAATTCTTGATAATAGATTCTGTATGCCTTGAGGAGTGCCAGAAACAGCTGCGATCACTTTATGAAACCAGTAGTAAAGTCAGAATCATTCCATGGGACCAGAACTCTGCTGTTGATATTGACAAGATCTACACAGACTTGTCTTGGATCATGGATGACAGGACCCCCTGGGGAGTGATACAAGAAAAGCTTGACCACTACACTGAGATTTTTGCTCACAGAGAAGCTCGTCGTGCACCCAAGCGAATTTTGGTTTATGGACAACCAGGTAAGTGACCGAATGAAGTAAAAAATTTAATTCTCTTAATAGAGGATAAAATATAAGTACATGCAAAAGTCACATACAATAACAGTAACACAGAAACCATTGGTCCACTGGCATTAAATTAATCGACACAAGGTGTTAGCAAATGCATTGTATCAGCTAGTGATGTACGGGGTTCTTGAGTGTTTTGCTGACATATTGCACATTCCAAGTGGGGTAGATTGTTACCATGCATGCTGTCAAACCAAATGAAATGTTTGGTCTGTTGCTGTTATAAATAAAATAAAAGTTGAAAAACAAAGTTTTTCTGTTAATCAGTCTGATAATAAACAATATATTTATGGGCTTTACAGCAATCATGACATGCACTCTAGGCTCCAATAGTGTTGTAATTATGGTTAAAATATTGTGACTCAATTTTATCTAAAATTCAAGTTTATTTAATGCCGAGAGCTAAAAGAATAAAACTAAAAAGAAATCATGACTGACAGTTTGGCCCAGTTGGTTGAAGGCTGATCATTGCTTGCAACATGGGGTTAAATTTTATCTGAAGGTCTGGATCTGCCACTGTTAACCTGGGTTTCTTTTTGTGTTGAATTATGAAAAGCATTTTCTTAGATTTTTCTCTACTCTTTTTAGATGATCTAATCATCAAATTTTAGACAAAAAGAATTAAACTGAAATTTGGTATTTAAGCTTTCATATCTGAAATTATTCAAATTTTGCGCTATCCCTGGCTTATCTTAACCCAGCCTTGAACAACTGGGCCCTAAATAGTCTGGATATTTCACAGTTTTGTGAAGGATTTATTTCCATTGTCTTCATCATGAATAATTTTGAATAGTAAATGAGACACCATTTTTGATGAATATAACTCTAGTCTCTAATCAAAGCTAAGAATTCCAAAATGACCCCTTTGAGTCAGGGAAACATCTTTTTGACATAACTTAAGAGACAAAGTTAAGGCCACCGATATCTTGCTCACTCTTCATATGATATAAAAAATTAATAGAATAAATAATTTCTCTCTAAGTTTTATAAAAATTATCAATTGAAATTTCAATATTTTAGATTCCACTTCACGTGACTTCACATGATAAAAGTAAAACCAATCTTTTGACAGTTTGCTGTTATTGCCACCTAGGTATTGGCAAGACTGTTTTCACGAAGAAAGCAACTTTTGACTGGTCCCAGCAGAGATATTCAGAAACATTAGGAGCATTTGATCTTGTCCTTCTGGTGAGATTACGTGATGTTAGTAATCTCCAAGATGTTCCGTCCATTCTGAGGGCTTCTGAAGTGCTGGATAGTAATGGTGCAATTTCCGTACACAACCTGTATGATTACATTTGTCGCCATCAAGAAAAAGTCTTGCTTATCTTGGACGGCTACGATGAATATGTTTACAGTTCAAAAAACGAGTCGCCTGTTTTCAAAATCTGGACAAAAAACCAATTAAGAGATTGTTGTGTTGTAATCACTTCAAGGGAAATGAAAGCTGAGACGTTGAGAAACGGTAGTGATGCTCAATTCAAAATTGACGGCTTTAATTATCAGCGCCAAGAAGAGTTCGCTCGTAGATTTTTGAAAGATGATGAAGATATTGAAGAGTTTTTTATGTACTTATGGCAGCACAACCTAAGGGGACTAGCACAAATTCCCCTACTGCTCTTAAAGTTGTGCTTGCTCTGGACAAAAACAACACGTGAAGAACTACCAAAAGAACGCGCAGACATCTTCGCCCAGTTAATGACAACCATGTTTGATCACATGTGTGAAAAAAAGTCTGCTGAAGAATCGGTTTCTGCCAAAGATTACTCCGATGAATTATACGCATTAGGACGCTTGGCCTTTGAAGCCCTTTTGCAAGGCCAGCTTTATTTCCCTGTTAGTCAGTTACCTGCTGGCTACAGTTTGATCGAGAGGCTGATTGAAGTCGGCCTTTTTCAGGTTTTAAATATGGCGAGTTTGAATCGTGAAAAAGGCGTGTACTTTATTCACAAATCCGTTCAAGAATACCTAGCTGGGAATTTCTTGAAAGAAGAGCTGACATCTAAAAAGGCTGAAAGTACAAATTCCCTCTTAAAGTTGGACTCAGTTAAAAAGATCCGAGAGATGTTCGAGGTTTTAAAATTTGCTGTTGAGTTGTCAGAAGAAGCCGCGCGCGACATTCTGATTCAACTTAGAATGGCGGCGAAGAAAGAAGAACTGACAGAGTTCAAATTCGACAACGAAACACCGTCAGAGAAGGACTTGTCAAAAGAACAAACAGATTTTTTTAATCTTTGTAATCAGTTATTTTTCTACTGCTCAGCTGAGACAAGAAAAAACCTCTTTCCTACATTTCTTTCCTCTTTCGGAGGAGTTCTTGTAATTGATGAAAAGCAGCTAAATGTTATCGTACAGGAAAAATTAGTTCAAACTACCGAAACACCCAACCACGTTTTTTTTTATTATAAAAAGTATACAGAGCAGGACTACAGTAATTTAATCATTTTAACACAACAATTAAACGCAGTTATTGTTAGCTCTGCAGGAGAAAAGAAAGCATCAGAATTTTTAAGCAACTTAACATGGCGTAGGATTGATGAATTTTTTTTAAAGAAAGAAGAAAACAACACTCACCTTTATTTAGCTAAAATTGTTAAAAAACAAAATGAAGATGAAGAAATTCCTTTTCCTTGTGATATAATAAAGGCGCTTATTAGTAAACAAGAGACAACAAAGAAGACAAACATGAATGGTGATGAGTCAAGTGAAGAGAGCAGCAGCAGCTGTTGTTCAAAGCGTCATGGTCTCTCCAGGGTTTGGAGGATTGAAGCTCAGCGGGTGAACAGGTCACAAGTGGAACTGATGAGTGAGATGATGCCGTTTATCACCGCTCCACACGGGATACTGGTTTGGGGTAAATACGGTGAAGTGTTTGATGCTGAGGTAACAGAGTCTCTGCTGAGGAGCATCCAAGTAACACACAAACTGAAGAGATTAACACTCAATGTAACATCATCACCTGCTGTGGAGTTCATCAACAATTTATTTAAAAAAGCACCAAACTTGGAGTGGCTCGACATGTCATTCAATCCTCTTCTGGGTGCAGGAGTAGACAGCTTGATTAAACATCTCAGCTGCGCTCCTCACCTGGAGGAACTGGGGCTTTACAGAGTGAAGATGACTCCACAGCAGGTGATGAATCTGTCATCAGCCATCAAGCAGCACGGCAACATCACTATACTGTGGTCATTCTACCACGTAAGTTTTCCAACTTTATCGCAATTTGTTTCTTTATTCTTTGTTTACAGTTTATTTCTACTCAGCTCTTGCCTTTTGCCATTTTCCTTTCTTTGTCATTTTTATACTCGCCAAAACACGAGATTTACTTTTGAAAACAAATCACAAACTTTAGCAGATTCAAAGTATCATTTCAAATTCATTCCCTTCAACTGATTAAACTAAATCCAAAAAATGTTTTAACCGAGAACAAGTAAATTAATCTGAAGGTGTTTTCACTGTGCAAAGTAATGGATCAGCGAGCAGATATGAAATTTCTCTTCGAGTCTGGTTCAACTCGATATGAGCTCACTTAACAAACTTGTGATATATGTATTAACACAAAAATTCCATAGTATTAATTTCTCAATCAATTTTAATTCATTACTTTTCATAAAATGATGAATAACAAGCATAAAATCAAAAAATGTTCTGTTCATGTTCGACAATTCAAACAAACAAAATTTGCAAAAATCAAGAGAAAAAAAGTTAACCACTTACAGTTTCACTTATCGCTAAGGTTTTCGTAAAATCAGCAAAACTCAAGTAAAGTTTCTTTGAGAGTCCAGAAAACGAAGAAGTCTTTTTAGAGCTGTCCTTTTGTTTGAATGTCCCTTGCGTTTCGGTAAATGCTTGTCCTCCCGTAAATAACCACACTGTAGCGTAGGTTTTTGAGATAGCGTTCCACAAAAAATATAATTCCTCTGAGACACTTTGGTTGGAATTTAACACCATAATTTAATCACAGGTAAAAGCACTCCTACATGGTACAAGCTGTCTATTTTTGTCGGTTACTTGTTTTCCAGTTTTACGACGAACACAACAAATCCTGCGTCACTTTGCGTCGTGTATGAATGAGTTGAAGTTCATAAATGTAGTTTCCTTTAGCTTGCATAAATCCTTTGTCAAATTCCTGAGCACAGAAGACGAATTTTTCTCTTAACTGGCGTTTTACGGTGTTTTCTCATTCTTTTTGAGTCCATCTTTGCGTTGAAAATTTTCTTTGATGAGCAAACTGAACTGAAGTGAAAAACAAACTACAAAATCATCAAACTGTCATTCAAAGTGGCGTGAGAGAAGGCTTGTGACGTGGCGACAGCTGATTGGTTATATAACTACCCACGTGGTAGAATTTTCCCGCCTTTCGTTTGGCAGCGCAGCCAGCGTTTCCTCAGACGAGACGCAGGTTTTTTTGCGCCTCCCCTCCCAACCCCCACTAAGGAAAAACTGATCTGTGAGAATTTTATCAGACCAAGAGTTAATAGAAGAAAGGGCTCCAAGGTTTCAATAATTCGCACATTTTTAGAGTATATTATTTGCTTTTGTTGTTTTGAAAGTCGTGCATGCAAATTTTAGGGGTTGAAAAGTAGAATGTGGTCTTTAAGCTGCGAGCACCTTTAGAGTTGCGTCCAAGAAGTCAGATGTATTTTTTGTTGCTTTTGTCGTTTTCCCCTCTTTTTCGTATTTTTAACTCCTTTTTTCAACAGAACTTTAGTTCGTGAGGCCCTTGCTTTTTCTGTATGTAGGTAATTTCTAATCACTATTAAACGGCACAAAAATTCGGAAATTTGGGGTTGACAAGGAAAAATCAGGAACGTCTTGCGCAGCAATCTAAAGGGTGGTTTACACTAGCGACAGAGTCGGAGTTGGAGTCGTAAGATCGCTTATGACCTAGTGAAAATCAAAAATCGGAGTCGTAAGCAGAGTAACCTGAGATCTGGCTGAGTTGATCTAACCTGAGTTTCGCTTTGAAAATTACATTCGGGCGGCCAAGACGATTTTTTTAGCGGTAGCCGTTAGAGAGAATGCATGAGAACCGCTAAAATGGGGCCTGATCTCAGGTTATAAGCGGCGTCATAAGCGCGCCGGAACCGGAGTCAGAAGAATTAGAGCGTTTCCATTTCTTCCGACTCCGCTTACGTTCCGCTTATGATCAAGTGAAAACCAGATTGTCGGAATCGGAAGCAGAAGCAGAAGGATAAACCAATCCCGATGCACGTTCTCACGCTTTGTGATTTGTTTGGTTCTTCCGCTTCTGCTTCCGACTCTGACAATCTGGTTTTCACTAGATCATAAGCGGAACTTAAGCGGAATCGAACGCTGTTTTTACTAGATCATAAGCTCTACGCTTTTGATTACGACTCCGACTCCGACTCTGTCGCTAGTGAAAAGCAGCCTTAATTTTGAGACACTCACAAGAAAGTTTTTTAGCGCAGCGGTATTCGCAAGACCATTCAGGACAAAATTACTGTTTAGGGCATGCGGATTTTAAGACTTTGAACTAAATAAGGCCTCGGAACGGATTGCAAAATGAGCGAAATCTCTTGTTTAGTCCTAAATATAACTAAATTAAAGAAGAAAAACGTCTTTGTCGCAAGCAGAAATTTCTATAGTACTTCTTTGACTATGTGTTGTAGAAATGACCTCTCTTCGGGGTGGAAACATCTTGAGCTTTACTCAGGTTGGTCTTTAAGTCCCAAGAGTGATCAACATGAATTTTCCCTTACCAATATCAAAACATTATCAAAAGAAAATGTTAGGAGAAGTGGTAAATTGATGAACAAAGGAGAAGTACTTTGATCTTTTATCAAGTTCTCTCAACTAATTCTATAAGGCAATGTATGGAAATTAGTGTGGAGAATTTGTATTTTTATATTGGGGCTTAAAGGGTTAATGGTAAATTTCTAGTTGTCCGATGAGCATTCACGTCCCCATCTCATAGTAGTTAACCCCCGGGGGTTATTTTTACCCTTTCATTGCTTATCACTTAAAGAAAGGTTTTAAAATCTAGACTACACTTTCGATCTTTTAACGTTGCTTTAAAAGTTAAATGGTGCTAGTGTTATTTTGTGATTTGTTGTAGGATCATAAAGGGAATCCCAAGCCTGAACATGAATGGCCATCAGAAGACTATTGGAAAGAGTGTTACCCCAGTCTCTTTTCTCACTCATCAAATAAATCACAGCCGCAAAAGCAACAGGTTGGTCATCAACTTTGGCAAAAGAAAATCGAGTATAATATTTCTTGAGTTCTGTTATTTCTTGGAAAAAAACTCAAAAAGCTTTTCAGGAGTTCACTTATTATAAACTGAAACTGGCGGAACAGGAAATGTGTTTTATATCATAGTATTTTCAGGCTTTAGCTTTTTTTTCTAGTCGCGATTTCATAAAAACTGAGTCAAATCAAAACGGTGCAGTTGAATATAAGTCTTACTAACAATAACAAGTTATTTCTGTGGTCTTAGGCTCTTAGCTCACTTCATCTAAGAAGTGAGCTAAGTCATACCGAAACCGACGGTTCTCTTACAACGATGGCTTTTAGTTGTGGAAGTTACTCTCCGAACAATATTGCAACGGACTGCAATCGGTTTCGGAAATACCTCTGGTTTTGGAAACGACCTGAAGTTTCCTTCATACGTTTTTTACCGTTCGGGAAGTCGATTTAATCGTGCACTTTGAAAAAACTTGCTGATTTTCGTACGTGAAGTTTATACAAGCCGGGAGAAAATGTGGATCTTTGAAATGTTTATTGACTTGCAAATTTCACCGCTACGCTGTAGTAGAGCATTTTACGCATTTTAAAGAAACGTGGAGCTTGAGGCTTGGATCAAACCAGTCAATAGTAGACTGAGGTTCTGTCTTTGTATAGTCTTGTTTTCATTTCTAACAGAAGAGTTTTTATAGCTCAATCATCTTATTTTCTCATCAACTCCTATCCTGTTTCAGGCGTTTAGATAGTGGAAAGTGCCACTCTCCACTATCTGAAAGCCTGGAACAGGCTCTGATCAACTCTTGTTTTCTTTTACCACTCGTACAGATTCCTGCAGAGACTCCCCTCAGTATTCACGACTCACCATTCCCCGCTGACGATCAAGACACCGTGAGAAGAACATTTTTAGCGCCTCCTGATCCTACCGGTAAGGTTTCTTGTCCCCAGCCCCCCGCTCCCAGTTCCCTGCCTTCCCAATCACAGATGTAACAAAACCTATTGGCGATTAACGCCCTGAGCACTAATAAGAAGTTGTGCATAACTTCGTTGCGCTCAAAAGTCAGTTTTGTTTTGTGATATTGCCTTCTTTTTAATAATTGCGGTGTAGACGTGCGACAAGTTGCTATTGTCACATTCTGTCCGTAAT